GAAGGAAGGAAGGAAGGAAGGAAGGAAGGAAGAGGAAAGAAAAAGAGTGAGAGATGAAAGAAAAAAGAAAAAAGGGACAGAGAGACAAAAGGAAGGAAAGAGAGAGGGGGGGGGAAAGAAAACACATGGCCGGCAAGCCACTCCCACAAAGAAGGCCACACCCACAGAGTAGGTTCCAAAAATTTCTGAAACCCACCACTGGCTTGATAGGTCCGTTTTTCACCCTCCCCAGGCTCCAGGGTCTTTCTAGGAGTCTGGGGAGGGCGAAAAACATTCCAACATGCAAACCGGAAGTTCGGGAATGGTTTTTCGGGCAGTTTTCCTCCCTCCGGAGGCTTCGGGGAAGCTTTGGGAGGGCGAAAAACAGCCGAAAATCAAGGCTGAAAATCGAGGGCGAAAATCAGCTGGCCGGCCCGAAGATGCGCACTGGAGCTGAAACACTTCAGATATGGCTCTGTGTGCCACCTGTGGCAGGCATGGGTAAAGAGTCTCCTGCTTGAGCAGGGGGTTGGACTAGATGACCTCCAAGGTCCCTTCCAACTCTGTTATTCTTTTATTCTGTTAAAAGCTTTCTTGTTTTGTTTTTTTAGAAAGGAAGCCTGTTGATTCACCCCTGTTTCTCAGCCTCTGCAACACTAAGGCAGCTGGACTTCACTTCCCAGAATTCCCCAGCCAGCTATTCTGGGAGTTGAAGCCCACACGTTTTGAAGCATCTCCTGGGCACGTAAATTTTCTCTACCAAGTTATATTTGGCAGCCCTTTTAGCCACTTTCCACAACAGGATGTCAGCCAGCCTCAGCAGCTCCTCTTTGAGGCAGAGAAAAACCCCAAGGAAGCAGAAGACACATTTCCGTTTCTGAAAGAATGAGAGAAAAGCCAGAGGTGGGTTTTTCCAGCCCAGAAGCGTTGGGGTGAAGGCTCCTGGAGGAGGAGGGGGACTCGGGGAAACCCCGGCCCTTCCTGGGTCACTGGATCTGCCACTTGGCGAAGCATTTTAACACTGCCCGGAGTCATCCCATGGCAAGAGGGGTGGTGGCCAATACATTTAATTAATGCAGTGGTTCCCAAACTTGGCAACTTTAAGACTTGTGGACTTCAACTCCCAGAATTCTCCAGCCAGCCTCCACAAGTCTTAAAGTTGCCAAGTTTGGGAACCACTGAATTAATGAATAGTGAATAGGACTGTTGAAGCGGTATATAAATCTACTGCTATTGAGGACTGTCTTCCTCCATCCAGATGTGAGAACAGCAGCTCCTGAAAGGCTTCCATTTGGCCTTTGAACCCGTGGCCTTCCCGGGGTGTAATTAAGGAGGAAAAAAGGAATGTTTATTGTTTATTTGGACCCCGCCTTTACTGTTTTTATAAACCAGTCATAGTGGCAAACATATCTAATACTCTTCCCTCTGATTTTCTTCCTGTGAGGTGGGCTGGGCTGAGAGGGGGGGCTAACTCAAGGTCATCCAACCGTCTCTCATCCGTAAGGCAGGACTAGAACTCACCATCTCCTAGTGACTGGCCCAGTGGGGTCACCCAGCAGGACTAAGGTGGGACTAGAACTCCCAATCTCCCGGCATCAAGTCTGGTGGCTTAACCACTAGGTCAGAATCTCCTCTCCTCTCTCCCCTCTTGCAAAGAGGAAACGGACTCCGAGCAGAAGAGGGAGTCTCCCCTCCCCCCCACCTTGCATGCCCTCCTGGTCTCCCCCTCCCCAAATCCCCCCCCCAGCTTCCACTCACCTTCCCCTTCAGACTGATGGGGGAGCTGGTGATATTGAGGGCGAGGATGGCATCCCTCCCTCCGACGTAGAGAGTCTCGCCGTCGGCACTCAAGAGGAAAGTGTCATAGTTGAGGATTCCCTCCTGGCTGAAGGCGCCGATCTCTCGGCCGGGGTCTCCTGGAGGAGGAAGGAATACATACACACAGATTAACAGAGTTTGTAGGGACAGAAGGGACCTTGGAGGTCATCTAGTCCAACCCCCCACCCAAGCAGGAGATCCTACACCATTTCTGACAGAGGGCAGTGCAGTCTCTTCTTGAAAGCCTCCAAGGATGAAGCTCCCACAACTTCTGAAGGCAACTTCTGCTCCATCGAATATAGTACACCACAGTTGGAAGGGACCTTGGAGGTCATCTAGTCCAACCCCCCACCCAAGCAGGAGACCTTACACCATTTCTGACAGAGGGCAGTCCAGTCTCTTTTTGAAAGCCTCCAGGGATGAAGCTCCCACACCTTCTGAAGGCAACTTCTGTCCCATGGGTTGATTGTTCTCCCTGTCAGGAAATTCCTCCTTATTTCCAGGTTGAATCTCTCCTTGGTCAGTTTCCATCCATCCTTCCTCATCTGGCCTTCAGGGGCTTTGGAAAATAGCTTGACCCCCTTCCTCCTCTCTGGGGCAGCCCCTCAAATATTGGAAGAGGTCATGTCTCCCCTGGTCCTTCTTTTCATTAAACTAGACCTACCCAGTTCCTGCAACCGTTCTTCCTATGTTTTAGTCTCCAGTCCCCGATCCTCTTTCTTGCTCTTCTCTGCACTCTTTCCAGAGTCTCCACATCTTTTTTACAGTGTGGTGGAAGGCATCCTTGGAGCAGAGGCATTGCAAATGCGGGGGCCATCAACCCTCCCCCTCCCAGGACGCAGCCTGCTTTGCTCAACCTGAGCAAGAGCTGGGTGCCTATTTCTTCTCTTGCGAAATCTGGGGCTCCTGGTTCCCCCATTTTGGGGTGTCCCCCCTTCGTACGGCCTGGGCGTCTTGCTCAGCCAGATGTGAAACAGCTGCCAGGTTTTCCAGCAGCTTTAGGAGAAAAGCATCAGGAATCTCATCCGGCCATGAGTGGGTGGCAGACGGGAGGTGCAAAAGTGGAATTCCAGGCTTAGAAAGCTGCCAGCTGCCAAAAGAGAGGAATGAAGGACCCCCCCCCAAGGAAAGGCTAAAACAGGGTGTGCATGTGTGGGGGTGGGTGGGTGGGGGTGTAAGACACAACCAAGCACTTGCTCCAAAGAAGCCCCCCAACCAGAATGACCAAGAGGGATATTTCCTGAGTTCCTCTCGTAAGGTCAAGCCCAGCCTCTTTGAGATGGCTAAAATTCCCAGAATTCCCCAGCCGGCGCTGATAACCAGGAGACGGACTTCGTCCCAGACACTTCAACCTGCTGTGTGAAGGAGTCTCTTGACCAGCGAGGTCCAATCTTGGGATCTTTAGAACTTCAACTCTCAGAATTGCCCAGCCGGCTCTGCCACCGGCAAGATGGGTGGCAAATAAATCTAACAATTAAACGCGATTGATCAACTCAATAAACAAACCTTGCAAAAACCCCTATGTGGCTCAAAAACCCATTTTTTGTTCCACCAGGAAACAAAATAAATCAGGCTCCGGGGTCAGCCAAGACCCCCAGGATTATGATTCATCATAGCATCAGCCAGATGTTCAAACTGGAGTTGGTATTTTTACCCACCATCCAGTCTTTCCCAAGGACCTAGGATAGGTAGATATAGAATATCAAATATAGAGTTGGGAGGCATCTTGGAGGTCTTCTAGCCTGACCCCCTGCTCAAGCAAGAGACCCTATACTCTTCTAGACAAATGGTTAGGGGACTGGAGGCTAAAACATACGAAGAACGGTTGCAGGAACTGGGTATGTCTAGTTTAATAGAAAGAAGGACCAGGGGAGACATGATAGCAGTCTTCCGATATCTCAGGGGTTGCCCCAAAGAAGAGGGAGTCAAACTATTCTCCGAAGCACCTGAGGGTAGAACAAGAAGCAATGGGTGGAAACCAATCAAGGAGAGAAGCAACTTAAAACTGAGAAGAAATTTCCTGACAGTTAGAACAATGAATCAGTGGAATAGAAGTTGCCTCCAGAGGTTGTGAATGCCCCAACACTGGAAGTCTTTAAGTAGATGCTGGATAGCCATCTGTCTGAAACGGGTTTCCTGCCTAGGCAGGGGGTTGGACTAGAAGACCTCCAAGGTCCCTTCCAACTCTGCTATTGTATTAATAAATGTTGGTGTTTGATGGTATTAAAGGTCTATTCACTGGAGAAAGAAATTATGATTATGGTTAGCGGTGAAAGGAAGCCAGGCGGCCGATGAACATGGTGGCTGGACGCCCTCAAAGCTGACCCTGGCCAGAGCAGAGAAGGACTGGGGAGGCCTGGCCCAGAGAATCGCGCAGAGCCGGACTCAGCTGAACGTACCACTTCATTATTACTTTGAATGTCACATTCACTTAATGACTGCCACAAGAAAGGCTGCAGTGCCCGACATACAACAGTTCATTTAGTGACCGTTCAAAGTTATAACAGCCCTGAAAAGAGTGACTTATGGCCGCTTTTCACACCCCATGGTCACGTGGTCAGAATTCGGGCGCTTAGCGTCTGACTCGTCTTTATGACGTCCCCGGGGGGGGGGGCACATTTTCCACCTTCTGACGAGCAATGTCAATGGGGAAGCCAGATTCACTGAAGAGCCGTGTTCCTCACAACAACTGCGGTGATTCACTTAACAACTGCGGCAAGAAAGGTTGGAAAATGGGGCAACACTCACTTTTACGAACGTCTCACTTATAGCAAATTTTGGGCAAATTTTGGATAGGCTGTCTATGGAAATGAAGGAGAGGGAAGAAACCGAGTGCTATCAAATTTGGAATGGATGGTATTCCCGGCTTGAGAGTAAAGCGTAAAACTTAAAGGTACAGACAGTAAAAGTATAATATGGAGTATTTCTCAACCTTGGCAACTTGAAGATGTCCAGACTTCAACTCCCAGAATTCCCCAGCCAGCATTCGCTGGCTGGGGAATTCTGGCAGTTGAAGTCCAGACAACTTCAAGTTGCCAAGGTTGAGAAACACTGTCCTAGACACTGAATTGTTTATACACTTAAAATAGCTTAAAGTTACCAAGGTTGAGAAACACTGCCTTAGTTAATCAAAGTCACAACACTACAGGGATAAAATATGACAGTGGCAATGAAAAGTGAATGTAGAGTGTATTTAAATAAGCACATAGCTTAGGATAGTGATATAGAGATAGAATTTTTTGTAAATAAAGATTGTTACGAAAGATATGGATACTGGTATGGAAAAGCTGTTATAAGTGTACATTGGTGTTTTGCCTTTTCAATGTTGGAAAATTCAATAAATGCTATTTTTTAAAGAGAAATGTTGGGCTTCCCTTCCGCATCTCGAGGAGGGCTGCCTGCGCTTCAGAACGGAGGCAGAGAATTTTTTCCCCCATGGATTAGCATTGCTCTTTTATTCCCTGGGCAGCAGAACGGAGGAGAGGAGTGAAGGAGAGCTTGCTCGGAGGGAGGAGGGCAGAAGGAGCCCTGCCTCCACCAAGCCTTGAAGGGCAGGAAGCCAAGGAGAGGCAAAGGAGGGGAATACCGCCCCCCCCCCCCCCCCGGCACTGCTCCAGCCCAGGAAGGAAGCAGAGCCCGATTAAGCCTCCCAGGCCAGCCTCGATGCCAGCCTTTTCGATCGCCTGCCCGCCCTTGGCAAGCTCCAGGAAAGATGCCGGGAATTAGGGACCTTGGAAGTCTTCTAGTCCAACCCCCTGCCTAGGCAGGAAACCCGTTTCGGACAGATGGCTATCCAGCATCTACTTAAAGACTTCCAGTGTGGGGAGCATTCACAACTTCTGGAGGCAACTTCTGTTCCACTGATTAATTGTTCTCACTGTCAGGAAATTCGTCCTTAGTTTTAAGTTGCTTCTCTCCTTGATTAGTTTCCACCCGTTGCTTCTTGTTCTACCCTCAGGGCGCCCCTTCTCTCCTAACCCCCACCTGCCCGGGGAGGTGCCAAAGATAGCAGGACCAACCTTGGGGCTGGCCCCCACAGGAGCTGCGTTCGAAAGCTCTGGATTAATTCACTTCCATTTTGACAGAAGGAATCCATATCTGGGGGGTGGGGGCAAAGCAGGGCTGAGCAGCCGACCATCAGCGGGCGAGGCGGTGTAAAACATCTCACGAGGGATCATTTCTACAAACATTGGCCGGATTTTGAGTTTCAGCAGCAGTGATGCCAGTCAGTGGGTGGCAAAGAGGGGCGACTCAGGGCCTCCCCCTGCACGGGCCTTTCTCCATTCTCTTGGAGGGGCTGCAGGGACTGGGGAGGGGGGGTCAGGAAAGGGATGCATGCCAAGAAAGTTTTCAGCCGACGGAGGGCACTTCTCTTTGGGCACGAGGGAAAGGTCCTCCCTCATGGGTTGGAGGAGGGCAAAGGGACGAGGGCTTCTATGCCACCTCTGCCCACTGT